TACTTCATACTGCTGCTGCAGGTAACACACACACACACAGTCATTGAGACACACACTCATACAAACACACACACACTTTCCTGAAGATCATACTGCTCAAACACTTAAAAATTATTATAATAATAATTTTGTGTGTGTGTGTGTGTGTGTAGGGTCGTGTGGAGGTGGAGATCGGGAAAGAAGGCTTGAAGTTTGAGAACGGCGCCTTCACGTATTACGGTGTTTCAGCGCTCACCGCTCCATCCTCAGGTCAGACAGTCAATAGTAATCAGCAGTTCTCTTCAATATCAGTGCTCTATATTACTCATTATTAATAGTATTATTTAATATTTCTCTGAAATATGAGTTTTACACTCACTGGCCACTTTATTAGGTACACCTTACTAGTACAGGGTTGGACCCCTTTTGCCTTCAGAACTGCTTTAATCCTTGGTGGCAGAGATTCAACAAGCTACTGGACATATTGCTCAGAGATTTTGCTCCATATTGTCATGATAGCATCACACAGTTGCTGCAGATTTGTCGGCTGCACATCCATGATGCCAACCTCCCGTTCCACCACATCCCAAAGCTGCTCTATTGGATTGAGCTCTGGTGACTGTGGAGGCCATTTGAGTACAGTGAACTCATCGTCATGTTCACCAGTCTGAGATGATTGAGCTTTATGACATGCTGCGTTATCCTGCTGGAAGTAGCCATCAGAAGATGGAGACACTGTGCTCATAAAGGGATGGACATGGTCAGCAGCAATACTCAGGTAGGCTGTGGCGTTGATGCTCAATTGGTACTAATGGACCCAAAGAAAATCTCCCCCACACCATTACACCACCACCACCAGCCTGAACCGCTGATACAAGACAGGATGATCCATGCTTTCATGTTGTTGAGGCCAGATTGTGAGTCGAGCATCCGAATGTGTCAGCAGAAATGGAGACTCATCAGAGCAGCAACGTTTCTCCAATCTTCTATTGTCCAGTTTTGGTGAGTCTGTGTGAATTGTAGCCTCAGTTTCCTGTTCTTAGCTGACAGGAGCGGCACCCGGTGTGCTCTTCTGCTGCTGTAGCCCATCCGCCTCAAGGTTGGCCGTGTTGTGTGTTCAGAGATGCTCTTCTGCAGAGCTCGCTTGTATCGAGTGCTTATTTGAGTTACTGTTGCCTTTCTATCAGCTGGAACCAGTCTGGCCATTCTCCTCTGACCTCTGGCCTCATCAACAAGGCATTTGCGTCCACAGAACTGCCGCTCCCTGGATATTTCCTCTTTATTCTCTGTAAACCCGAGAGATGGTTGTGAGTGAAAATCCCAGTAGATCAGCAGTTTCTGAAATACTCAGAGCAGCTCATCTGGCAGCAACAACCATGCCACGTTCAAAGTCATTTAAATCCCCTTTCTTCCCCATTCTGATGCTTGGTGTGAACTGCAGCAGATCCTCTTCACCATGTCTACATGCCTAAATGCATTGAGCTGCTGCCATGTGATTAGCTGATATTTGCATTAACAAGCAGTTGGTGTACCTAATAAAGCGGCCGGTGAGTGTAAATTTCTTATTATTATCAGTATTTAATATTCTCTGTAATAGCAGTGTCATATATTTCTCTTTAATCTCTGTAATATTATGAGTGCTCAGAAACAGATCTGCTCTTCCTGATTTGAGTTTGAGCACAGAATGAAGAGTCGCTGACTCTGCACATCTGTTGTTGTGTTGTGAAAGCAAACACACTATTGTTGAAATGTTGACAAATCTGCACACAGACACACACACACACAGACTCCGGGTTGCCAGATGGTGTAAAACAGGGTATTTCATTCATTCAGTCATGAAGGCTCTCAAAGCATGCGTCTGTGACTGAAGTGTGACCTCTGGTGGACAGTAGCAGACTCTGAAATGAGACGCAGATTCAGAGTTCCACATGAGGCTATTAATTAGCGAATAATATGAATATTACGAGCGTAAACATTAGGTTAGCAGGTTACATTGTAACCCCGTGTCCTAACAACACGCTACATGATGAGATACGCAGTGATGAGCAGTTTGGCTGTTTGCAGCAGACGAAACAGGACAGAGATGTAAACACAGCCATTCAGAAGCACAGTATAGTGCACTCACTGCACTCCAGCACAATGCTGAGCTTTATAATCTAATGAACACACATTAAAGCTGTTTCACATGATTAAATGTAGAGATCTGCGCGGGACTAAATTTTGAATCCCGCACCTGCCAGGTTTTAGCCGGAACCCGACCGCTCCCGCTTATATTAAGCACTTGATGTCCCGCTGCCCGACCCGCCCCGTTTTCTATCCGCCGCGCCCGATCCCGCTAAAGAGCGGGGGGAGAACAAAACCGAAAAATCACCCAGTTATACAGTCCAGACAGCCTATAACAAGCTGTCTGTATAAACACACACACGCACAGCACCAAGCACACACACACAGACAAAGCTTTCTCTCTCATTCGCGCGCGCCCTCTAACACACACTCATAAGCACCAAGCACAAACACAGGCAATGAGGCAAAGCTCGCTCACACACACACACACACACACACACACCTCTCTCATTCGCGCATACATACATACATACATACATACATACACACACACACACACACACACACACACACACACTGCAACAAACAAGCTAAACACAGCATTGCGCTATTTCATTTACACACATACATACGCGTGCTCACTCGGGAGTCGTCTCAAATTAAACCCGTTACCGACCGCTCCCGTGATTTATTCGGAAATTTATACCCGCGCTGTAGAAATCTGGTCGGGTCCCGCGCCGCCCGCGGGACAGCCGCGGGAATGCAGACCTCTAATTAAATGTAGATGCTGAATCACTGATGTGTGTTGGTTTGCACTGAGACTCAGTTCTGAGGGTTTATTTTATTCTCCAGATCTGAGCTGAACTATCTGCTGCTGCTTTCAGTAGTATGGCAATAAACGTCATGTGAAATCACCATTAAACTCGCATTATTAG